GAAATGTGATGGGCAGTTAGAAAGTAAAAGCTGTGTAAATTCCATTATCTATACCTGTCAGGAATGGACTCAGCACTGGTGGTGGGACTCACCTGCCGTGTGGGCTGCAGTACCAGAGCTGACCAGCGGGTGCTCTCAGCAGCTAGAAGCTCACACCTGCAATCAGCCAAACCTGGGGCTGATTGCAGAAGGTGTATTTAAGGCATGACCAGGCCTGTGATCTGGGCCTTGGTGTATGTTTTCCCATGAGCCCCTGTACCTGGTATCTTGTGTTCCTGCCTCGTTGCTGACCCTGCTTGATCCTGACCTCTGCTGACCGTCTCCTGTTGAACCCCTGGCTTGCCTGACCATTCTTCTGCCTGATCCTTTGTACGCGCGCTGCCCGTGAGTTACTGAACCCAGCTTGTGACCCTGACCATTCTCTGCCTGCTCCTTTGGTACCTTGCTGCCTGCACGTTGCTGACCTGGCCTGTCTGACCACGCTAACTACTTTGCCATCCATCCATCCTGCACGGATCCAGCAGTCCCTGCTCACACCTTCTGCCTCTTCACATCAGGCTTTCTACCTGCACATACCTCTGGCGGATCCCTCTACCACTAGCAGGTGTACTCAGGGGCCGCGACCTGGTTCCTGTCTGCTCCAAGTCCATCCCCACCATCAGGGGCCCTGGTGAATAAGCAGACTGGGACTTAGACTCCGCGCCCTGGGGAATCCTGCCCTGAGGAACGCTAGAGGTACCACCAGGCAGTCATTACAGAACCCTACGGCCGGCCTGATCATTCCACCTCTCCAGCCCTGACTACGCCTGTGTTCCTGCACCTACTAAGATTAGTGGAAGGTTGGTTTGTTCACTGTGCGTTTATATATATATATATATCTGGGTGGCTAATAATAAACTGTATTATTATACTATACCTGAAACCTGCGTTTCCCTGTGTCAGTCTACACCTTTCTGGTCATTCCTAGATTCCTGACATCACCATAGTTTGTAGATGCTATACCTGTCACACAAACCAATTAATATGCAGTTATTGGGATTTTGTTTTACCAAAGACATGTAGCAAAATACATTTTTGCCTGAATGTAATGACGAAATTTGAGTTTTTTGGATATTTATTATGACAGAAATGAGAAAATATTACTTTTTTCAACATTTTCGGTCTTCTTTTGTTTATAGCGCCAAAAATTCCACCAAAAGGAAGCTCTATTTGTGTGAAAAATGGACCTAAATTTCATTTATGTACAGCATTGCATGACAGCGCAATTGTCAGTTAAACAATCGCAGCGCTGTATAGCAAAAAATGGCTTAAATTGCAATATCTATACACAGGCCCGGACTGGCCATAGGGCACACTGGGCATTTGCCTGGTGGGCCAGAGCCACCGGGCTTTAGAAGAGCGGCCTGTTGATGACCGGCCACACAGCAGGAGGTAAGCAGCGACCACAGCCTGAGCAGAGCTAACATAGACCGCGGCCGCTGCTCACCTCACACTGTGCGGCTATGCCTAAAGCAGGACCAACAGGAGGAGAGGCAGAGAAGGCTTCAGTGAAGAGCAGGAAGCGGCCGCTGAGGACACACAGACACCTTCTTAGCCAGCTGCCACGCACAGCCACACTCAAGGGACAACGGCAGCCTCTCTCTTTCGCTGGCTGGCACACTGTGACAGGTCTGTCTCTTTGCTGAACAGGCTGTCTTTTTGTTGGACTGGCTGTCTCTTTGCTGGTTGAGCTGTCTCTTTGCTGGATCGACTGTCTCTTTGCTGGATGGGCTGTCTCTTTGCTGGATGAGCTGTCTCTTTGCTGCATGAGCTGTCTCTTTGCTGGACGAGCTGTCTCTTTGGTGGATGGGCTATCTTTTTGGTGGATGGGGCTGTCTCTTTGCTGAACAGGCTGTCTCCTTGTTGGATGGGCTGTCTTTTTGCTGGGTGGGCTGTCTCCTTGTTGGACGGGGATGTCTCTTTGCTGGACTGGGCTGTCTCTTTGCTCAGTTGGGTTCAGCCCAGTTCAGGAAGGGACAACCCCATCCAGCAACGAGGCATTCCTGTCCAGCAAAGAGACATCCTGTCTCTTTGTGGATTGGGATGTCTCTTTGCTGGATGGGGAAGTCTCTTTGCTATATGGGTATGTCTCTTTGCTGGATGGGGATGTCTCTTATGTCTCTTTGCTGGATGGAGATGTCTCTTTGCTGGATTGGGACATTTCATTGCTGGATTAGGCCATCTCTTTGAATATATAGGGGGCGCTGTGATTAGATTTCTAGGGACACTGTGATATAAAGGGGACTGCACTGTAAAGGGGCACTGTAATCAATACAGTGCCCCTTTACAGTACAGCCCCCTTTATATTACAGTGCAAAGGGCCGACTCTGTGAATATTCCGTCACCAACTGCCCCCGAGAATGCCCTTGTACCCCCCCCGGCTGTTCAGTCTAAAATGCCAGGGTCTCTTTTTTGACCCAGTTCGGGGGCCTGTCTATACAAAGCAATCAATATACACTTATTGGGATTTTTTACCAAAAACATGTCGCAGAATACATTTCAACCTACATTTATGACTAACTTTGAGTTTACTATATATTTTGTATAGCTGAAATTAAAAATAATGTTTTGTTTTTCAAAATTTTTGGTCTTTTTTTTGTTTATAGCGCAAAAAATAAAAGGCAAACAGGTTATCAAATACCACCAAAAGAAAGATCTATTTGTGTGAAAGAAAGAACATAAATTTTGTATGGGTACAGTGTTGTATGACTGTGCAATTGTCAGTTAAAAAATGGCGTAAATTGCAGTATCTATACCACAGTTTGTAGATGCTATAACTTCATACAAAGCAATCAATATACACTTATTGGGGTTTTTTTTTTACCAAAAACATGTAGCAGAATACATTTTGGCCTAAATGTATGACTAACTTTGAGTTTACTATATATTTTTTATAGCTGAAAGTAAAAAATATAATTTTTTTAAATTTTTGGTATTTTTTTGTTTATAGCGCAAAAAATAAAATGCTCACAAGGGATCAAATACCACCAAAAGAAAGCTCTATTTGTTTGAAAAAAATGACATAAATTTCATTTATGTACAGTATTGCATGATCGTGCAATTGTCAGTTAAACTAGCACAGTGCTGTATAGCAAAAAATGTTGTAAATTGCAATATCTATGCCATAGTTTGTAGATGCTATAACTTTCACACAAAGCAATCAATATACACTTATTGGGATTTTTTTTTTACCAAAAACATGTAGCAGAATACATTTTGTCCTAAATTTAAGACTAACTTTGAATTTACTATATATTTTTATAGCCGAAATAAAAAATATTGTTTGTTTTTCAAAATGTTCGGTCTTTTTTTGTTTATAGCGCAACAAATAAAAAGCGCACAGGTGATAAAATACCACAGAAAGAAAACTCTATTTGTGTGAAAAATAGAACAGCAGAAAAATAGAACAGCAAAAAAAGACCTGGTCAGGAAGGGGAGCAAATCCTTGGGAGGGCAAGTGGTTAAGACTATTAGAAAGTTGTGGTAACAAATGTCCTCATTAGAAAATGACCCCTCTTTTCATGTAAAAGGACTAGTTTACATTTTTGGGTTTTCTCCAAGTGGTTGCAAAGGACAAATAGAAAAATCGATTTACTTGTGGTAGATGCTAATCCTGCATAGTACATGATGACATCGGCAATAGGGGCAGCAACATAACCAGAGAAATAGAGGCTTTGTGGAATTGTGTTTCTGACTACCAATACTCCTGAAGCCTTTGTTCCTCTAGGTCAGTAGATTAAGGTAGGTAATTCTCTGTCTAAGATCCCCCATACCTAAAACAATATCCTGCATATCCTGCGGTAGGTGACACATTTATTTTTGAACCAGACTAGAGTTCCATTTTAAATATGGTAGACATGTACACTGTACTGAGTAATGTATAGCAACCACTATGGGACTTTTTACGTACCAATATGAATCACATCTAATATCAACTGTTACAAATATATTAACAATATGTTTTTACAAAATATTATATTAAATTCATTTCTTACTGATGCTTACAACAGTTCAGATTTGTCCATGTGTACAACTGCTCCCTCCTAGTATAATGAAATTTTCACATCATCTTAGCAGAGTACAGTTCAAGAGTAATCATAAATGTTATTTCTACTGCATATCAGGGCTAAATTTAGATTTGTATAATCATAAATAGCCACACACATTCTCTGCATTACCATTTTTGTAAGCTAGTGGATCTTTTGTGTTAATTTGGGAGTTTTTCAACCCTAGATTTAATTATAAGAGCTAACCCTTACGTATGATTCAATGTATTTTAGGATGCAATATATTGTAGGGTTTTGGTCAACACAGTTAACATATTCCTTACTTTTAGAATATTCCTTTGCAATGCATGAATTACCATACCAATTAATGTTTTTTTTTATTTTTTTTTACAGTGATCTCCTTGAGCTCATTCTGTTCAATAGACTTGGCATGAAAGACATCACAACTAGAGCAAGAAAATTCTCAATTGGCTACTGGAGTTAATTAAGTAAAATGTGCTAATCGCACATTGCTTGTCCTTTGTTAGTATGAGGATTGCAACACAAACATGTAAATGTCTTGGAAAAAAAAGGTTGCTGTTCAGGGTCAGAATCTGTCCCTCCCTCTCTTCCCTTGTCTTATATACTCTACTAATTGGATTCCCTCCATGATTATGTGGTGTATACATTCCTCTAAATGTTAGGAGTTTCTCTGAGCATAATCATAAAAACTATGAATTTTCTAAGCATTTCACATGCTGTTATCTTTAAAATAAGAAATGATGACCACAGTAGAACTATTATAGAGGTGAAATATAGAAAGATTTGTGGAACTAAAATCAAAACTCAAAAAATGTAAGCAGACAGGCTCTTGATTGCAGAAGAGACATATGATGTGGTTGCCTCCCATGTAGGCAAATAGTTTGTATATTATTTGTGTAATAGATATGCAGCAATGATGGGCACTGATAGGCGGCACTGATAAGCAGCACTGATGGGCACTGCTGGTGGCACTGATGGGCAACACTGATGGGTGGCACTGGTGGGTGGTACTGCTGGGCTCTGGTGGGTGGCACTGCTGGGAACAGGTGGGTGGTACTGTTGGGCACTGGTGGGGGGAACTGCTGGGCACTGATGAGCATTGATGGGTGGCACTGCTGGGCACTGACACAGGTAGGTTGCACTGCTGGGCACAGGTGGGTGGCACTGCTGGGCACTGATCATCAGGGCACTTGGCGTAGCTAACAAACAAGTATGGAAATGTACATATTTTAATTACAGAAAGGGACATATAGTTTTTAAGATCAAAGAGAGAGGGGGAAAATGTCCAAATTGGAGGTGACTGCTCTGGGCTTCAACAAAATAAGGGCCTCCTGCAACAAGAAACAGGAGCATTGCTGGAGGCAATTTACAACATATACTAATTTTGGTAGCATAATTATTAATATGAAATGTATGTTATTTTGTTAAGAACAATAATTGTTATCAAACTATTACAGTAAAGTCCCGTTTTCAAGTCATGTTAAAAACTTTTTATTGAATTAAAAACATACTAATCTGTATGAGTATTATATTCGTTTATATGATAATTTCAAAAGTAGATAAATATTGTACTGCAATTACATGTACTTTGTACTGATAGGTATTTCCAGGTAAATATTAAAACTATCAAATTTGTTATGAAAAATCTTCTTATAATGTGCAAGTAAAATAACTAATGATTATCCTAAGAAGTCTACTTTAAATTTTTTAGCATGCATTTTTATATTGTTCAATTGTACTTGTTTAATATGGTACCAAGCAATACTAGCTACAAATCAGACTTTTTCTGGGGGGTTTTTTCTCCATTTTGGGCTATAAAAGTTTAGCAAGAAATACATGCTATTAATGGTCAATAACCCTTGACAAGTACAGAATAACCTTGCTTGAAAATTTGGCTTTCCATTCCAAATGTCACTTTGTACGAGAAAGAAGAAACCAAAGGTGAGATGTGAAATGTTCATTATAAAATCATTGAGCTGAAAATATAATTATTACAAATGAGAATGACAGCTTTATTTCATATCCCCATGGTGAAGTCTGTGTAAGTCATCTTTGAGTCTCAGAATATTTATATTCGACACCTTCATTTGAATTGTTAGACGAAGATAAAAAAGTTAGAGAATAAAGTATAGTAAGATAAAAGAAAAAAAGTTTAACAGTTCTCTGGACAAACTATTCTTAAAAATAGCAAAAAGTGTATAGAAACCTTACATTTCAAAAAATAAAATGTATTGAAATGTTATTCCAAATGTAAATGTTGTGTAGTTGTACCATTAATGTTATACAAAGGGCCAATCCATCCAAAACCCGTATTTTGCTTCTGGTTAGATATTAAAGGTTTAATCAACCAAAGTTTACTTTGAATCTTGGGGATGCAGATGATGATATCTTTGCACTAGGTTTCCAAGTTTTTGATCCAGCTGAGCCCAGTACTATAAGGTACCTGTCCTTTATTTTATGGAATTTTAGTAATTCTACCATTGAGCAACAAAAGAGGGAAAACTCCATAATAGGGCGAGAGGCTGAAATTCAATAAGTGAAAATCTTTTGCTGAATTGTTCAGGAGACATATAGGGGTTTATTTTTTACAACTTGAGAGTGCAAAATCTGGTGCAGCTCTGCATGGTAGCCAATCAGCTTCTAACTTCAGCTTATTCAATTAAGCTTTGCCAGTAAAACCTGGAAGCTGATTGGTTTCTATGCAGAGCTGCACCAGATTGTGCAGTCTTAGGTTTTCAGAAAATAACCCCCATAATGTTGGGTTAAAGGGTAATTAAAGGGTAGGTTTGGTTTTGAATACAAAATAATAAATGCACTACTTTACCTTTTTCTTATAAAAGTAAAACAAGAAAAACATACCTCGCTGCAAAATGCATCTTTTTACTGCCCCAGCTGGGTCGCATTTTTGTGTCCATGGCAACCAACTGTACAGCTGATAGCCTCTTCAATACTGAGCATATGTTCACATCTCTCAGAGTATATAATGGCTTCCCTTTCAACCTACACTGAACAAAAGCAATGTGTATCTTTTAAACCCACCAAAAGTAAAATATAAGCAATTGGTTGATTTATCTATTTAGCTTCATTGTATTATGATTATTTATTATATTTTTTCTTTTATGTATCTCATTTTATATTTTCTGCTAAGGGTCAGCTTGATCTAATGCTAAATATAATGATCAGTAGCCACAAGATGTATAATAAATAGAGCATTGTATTAATATTCTATTTATTGTCAAATAATTATTTTTACTATTATTAACCTACGGTTAATAATAACAGTTTGTGATAACCGTGGATGCATCTGGGCTTCTGTTTGTCTACTTTGTTTCTATTATTGCTTGCTGTTTAACAAATATTGATTGTGTATTAATACTATGACACTACCAGGGTTTTAATGTAATACTTTTATATATAGTAATACAGTTGTGTTTCAAGCACTGGGATATAAATGCACTATATTTGTAATATAGGTGCATGTGTACATCATTACGTCTAGGTTATAAGTGTACCTTTGTAAATAAAAGTGTACATTCAGACAACTTTTTTTTTTCAGTGTAGCACCAGCCTAGTTAGGTGCTAGTAGAGAGGCAGTGGATCTGTGATTGTGTTTTGCCCATCTGGGTTCTGCAACTACAGTCTTACCTGTCTCACCCTGTCTTTCCAGAAATTTCTGGAACATAGTGGGTGGAGAAGGTAGAGTTTGATCTGGCCCTGTATACAGCCAATCCCTGGTTTAGAAAATGGCCAGCAGGGTTCTGATACCTATATAAGGATCCGTCAGAGAGTTACAGGGCTCTTTGTCTGCTGGAGATTGACCCAGCCTGGAAATGCTGTTAAACCTTCCAAGGCTTAGAAGAAACTTTAGGAAGCCCTGGATGATTCTATCTCACCAAGCATGTGAAGGATCGCCTCCAAATTTGCAAAAACACCAGGGCAACATCTAAAGAGGATCTTCTTGGGATACGTTTGTGCCATTGTCAGCTAAAGCTGGAAGAGGGCCTTCAGATTGCCCGGGTCCAGGGGCGGACTGACAACTCATGGGGCCCCCGGGCAATAGGGGATCATGGGGCCCCTGTGTCCTTGCCCAAACTCAAAAAAGCCTATGAAAAAGGTACCAGGAGCATCTCATGGGGCCCCCTACTGACCTGCAGGAGATCTGCATGGCACCAGCGATCTGCTGACCTCCTCTGGTGCAATGCTTTACAGGTTCCTGCAGACAAAAATAATAAGTGCACATTTTTTTACCTTAAAAAAAATGTTCATTTATAATTTTGTTCTAAAAGGTGAACTTATCCTTTAATACACCTGGCTGAAAATACCCTGTGTCCGGCTGCTTGCTCCATTAAGAGATCAAAACCTGGGCTAACAGTGGGACCAACCAGAAGGTCTGTGCTACATTAGTTTTGGATAGATTAGGGAAGGGTTTAACCCTGTATCTGTTTGTTACTGCCATCTAAACTAGGGCTAAGCCTTCCACACTCTATCCCAAACTGGAAATTAAGTGTTTAGCTTGACATATACTTTATTCGACGCAGACCTAACCTTTTTTCATTTCTTTAATGCTACATTTCTGCTACATATTAGTAAAAAAAGGGCCATATAAGTTTTAATAGTGGTCCTGCATGTGAGTCTATATGTTCACCAAATTCAACTTTCCGTTGGAACAATTAGCAAACAATGCATAATCATAACAATTCTTCATACTTTATGCTTTACAGAATTACATTCTATGGTCTGTATGTGCTGCCAAAATTGTGTCTTAACCACTTGCCCTCCTGAGGATTTACCCCCCTTAATGACCAGGCCTCTTTTTGCTACTCGGCGCTGCACTAATTCAACTGATAATTGCTCGTTCATGCAATGCTGCACTCAAACGAAATTTATGTCCTTTTTTCACACAAATAGAGCTTTCTTTCAGTGGTATTTGATCACCTGTGCGCTTTTTATTTTTCACGCCATAAACAAAAAAAGACCAAAAATTTTGAAGAAAAACGATATTTTTTACTTTCAGCTATAAAAAATATATAGTAAACTCAAAGTTAGTTATAAATGTAGGCCAAAATATATTCTGCTACATGTTTTTGGTAAAAAAAAATACCAATAAGTGTATATTGATTGCTTTGTGTGAAAGTTATAGTGTCTACAAACAATGGTATAGATACTGCAATTTACGCCATTTTTTTGCTATACAGCGCTGCGCTAGTTTAACGGACAATTGCGCGGTCATGCAATACGGCACATAAATGGAATTTACCTCCTTTTTTCCCACAAATTTAGCTTTCTTTCGGCGGTATTTGATCGCCTGTGCGTTTTTTATTTTTTGCGCTATAAAAAAAAAATCTGACAATTTTGAGGAAAAAAAACAATATTTTGGACTTTTTGCTATAAAACATGTCCAGTAAAAGAAAATTTAAAAATCAAATTTAGTCATAAATTTCTGCCAAAATGTATTCTGCGACATGTCTTGCTAAAAAAAAAATACCCAATATGTGTAAATTAATTGGTTTACGTGAAAGTTATAGCGTTTACAAATGGCGGGAAAGATACTGGGATTTTTATTTTTTTTTTTATACTAATAATGGCGGCGATCAGCGACTTATGGCGGACAGATAAACTCTTCTGTCCCAATCAGCGTGTCAGGAGCTGTCAGGGAACTGACAGACCGCACAGCTACTGCAGCCCTGCTCTCTGCCAGCGATTGCCACTAATCGTCGGGACATAGCCGGTAACGACCGGCTGTGACCCGGCGACTGACATCCACGGCCGTGATCGGCAGGACAGGTAGGGCAGTGGCGCGCCTCGCGCGCGCCCCCTACCTGTTTTGAAAACACGCGTTTTAAAACGTGGTTTGCCCAGCCGTGCCGCCCTGCCAATTTATTTCTACAGTGGCTGGGCAGCATGTGGTTAAAGCTCTTTAGTAATGCAACAGTGGGAACAGGTATGCAGGTATACAGTATATTATTTAGAGTAAAAGACTTTAAATTCATACAATGATAT